CCCCTCCTTCTTCCTCTTCCTCTCCCTCTTTCCCCCTCCCCTCCCCTCCCTCCCTCTCCCCACTTCGATCTCATGGCTGTAGAGTTGGAACCAACTCATATCTGACCCTCTGTTGGATTGTCTGCAATGGTCTTTCATGTAGGAGGAGACTGACCATCCTTCTCTCTGAGCCCATGGTGGAGCCAACCCTCAGTGCTGTTTGGCTTAACAGTGCAACTCATTACGGACTGGGTTATCGGAAACTGGTTTCTTATTTCATGTCACTGTTGTTATGGTAGTGTACCATTGAGTCGCAATCAACCCATAGCTGGCCCTCCAGTGGGTTTTCAGAGGCACTTAATTGCATGGGAGGAGATATTTCTTCTTTTGTGATTAAATTGTTTTGTTCTGCACTATGTTTTTCATGCACACACTTGGTGTTGTTGTTGTTATGTGCCATGGAGTAGTCTGCGACTCATAGTGACCATATGTACAATAGCCCTAAACCGTGCTCTATCCTGTGCCAATCGCACTGCTTCTGGCACACCCATCCCGATTACCCCAGTCACTGAATTTCAACTGTCCTGACTGAGTCGAACTCCATCCTATGCAAATATCTTATGGATGTTGATTTCCTTTACTTTGGTCGATGTCCATTTTGTCAATGAGCTCTTTCCACCTCAAGGCTGTTTTGAAAAGTCTCGCCATGATTGTTGGTGCATGGTGCTTTCAAGGGTTTCATGAAGAAGAGGGTCTTCACAAGACATTATTCTTGGGGGGGGGACGGGGGAGATTGTATAACAATGAAAGACTTTTACTTTTCAAAGAGGAGAATGAACTGGGAGGTTGGGCAGGGATAAAAGTGCTATAACGCATAAATAGAAATCCAAAGTCTCTTTAAACTTTCATTAAAATTAATAATAATAATTTAAAAATAAAACCATAAAAAAGGAAGACATTATTCTTCAAGGAATGTTAAGTGTGACAGTGTCTTTTGAACCTTAGATGGACATTTGACCAGGACACAAAATAAATAGCTCTTCTCCCAGGGGCCCCAAGCTCTGCAAGAATGCACAGGACATGGGGTGACATCGAAATAGTCTAATATTTACTCTCTGGGCTTCAGTGATAAAAAGAAATGCCTCACTACAATTTTAAGTGGTTCGAATTTTCCTTGGCATCTGGTTTAGCATTCAGTGCGTGGTTATCTGCTGTTGTTGTTGTTTGTTGTTATGTGTCATTGAGTCGCTTGCGACTCATAGCGACCCTATGTACAACAGCCCTAAACTCTGCTCTGTCCTGTGCCAATCACACTGTCTCTGA